TAGGGAGTCCATGTGAGGCCCTCTTGGATACTGGAGCTTCACGAAGTTTCATTAGTCCCAAAACAGTCGAACGACTGCAGCTGAAAGTGCGGATGCTTCCAAGGGAACATAGGTTCACTGTGGCCACAGGTGCACAACTACGCATTGACCGGGTTGTAACAAGACTGACGTTGTGGTGTGGACACGCACGTTTTTCCGGGGACTTTCTAGTGGGACCCGTTCCCTATGACTTAGTCTTGGGCTTGGATTGGCTGACGGAACACAAGGTGGCCTGGTATTTTCAGTCGGACAAGCTCCGAACCTATGTGAATGGCCAGTGGTGCGAGTTACCGGTCGTTCGGACTGGTGAAACAACGCTGCGAGGTGACAGTTTCATCGCAGCCCACCCAAAGACCCCTGCAGAACAAGCGTACGAGATACTGGCAAACCAAGTGGCGGGTATGTCTACCGAGGAGGCCGCCATATTCTTACGCCCACCTCCAAGGAGGTATAAACCCCACGCGAAGAAGAAGGCGAAGGCGCGGATAACGTCGCTCGTTCGTCAAGCAGCTGAGGACACAAAGGATCTCAAGGCTCCAATGCACAGTTTGCACCTCATACTGGCTTTGTCCGAAGCCGGTCCGGCAATGCCCCTACGGCTCGCGGATGAATGGCAAGGCGCGCTTTGCTGCGCGGTAATCGGGACTCAACCCGCGTCCTCCAGTTGGCATAGTCCTTCGGCCATAACCGCCGCGGGGGCAACGGAGAGTGATGAGGAGTCCCCCTGGCCTCAGGCACAACTCGAGCACACTCTGTTTGACGCATGGATACATTCGACAGAGGCGCAGGATATCCCCCAGGAGATAGCACAAGTGTTGCACGAGTACCGAGCTGTATTTCCCGATAACTTACCTAAGGGATTACCGCCGAAACGCCCTCATGATCACCATATTCTACTCGCGCCGGGAAAACTTCCGGCGAAATCTACGATCTACCGTATGACCCCAGATCAGCTCACATTCCACAAACAGGAGATAGCTAAGTTGTCGGACAATGGTTGGATCGGACCGACCTACTCGCCTATTTGCTCGCCTACAATCATGGTGGACAAACGCGATGATGGCTCAGGGGAGCGCAAAATGCGTATGGTTGTAAACTATCAGGCCCTAAATGCCCTTACGATAGCCCCTGAATTTCCCTTACCTCCCATCCAAACCATTCTCGAGATGCTGGGAGGCGCCCAGTACTTTTCCACCCTGGACCTAGAAGCAGGCTAGGTAGTTTATGCGTACCGATTCCTTCTGGCCACCTTCTGTCGAAAGGCCAGGCAAGAACCTGATAAGCTCATGGCTCACTACGGGAAGCCGGAATTCCCACGACCTGCCGCGTTCCAGGCCAATATTAATGCCTACCTGCAACCGTTACTAAGACAAGGCGTTATTGCGTATCTAGATGATGTCCTCATCTATAGCTCTGATCTCTCGGGGCACGTATCTCTCTTGCGACAAGTCCTCAGCATTTTTCTTCAACATCAGTTCTACCCAAAATTCCGCAAATGCAAGTTTGCAAGGCAAACGATTACGTATTTGGGTTATACCATTTCCGCTGCGGGGATTAAACCTGCAGAAGATAAAATTGCAGCCATCCGGCAGTGGCCTGAGGTGCTGGAGAACGAAACGCAGGTGCGTCAGAAG